ATGCCCTGTTCGCGCAGCAGTGCACTTAACGCGTCGGGATGTGCTATGCTTGTCCACAGAACCTTCAGGTAGTACGTGATTCCGCGGTTAAGCAGCGAAAGTCGGTTCTGAAGCGCGGTCAGTCGGTCAGCTTCTTCGGACACATCCACCTTTTCGGCCGATATGCCGTTTAAAAGAACATGCAGCTGATCACAATTGGCGCTGAGGGCGATGACTTCCGACAGCATCTCCTAAAACGCAACGACGGCAGTGCAAAGCGGCAACGAAAGCAGTGATGTCGAGGGCCAATTTAGTCTTACCCTCAACAAAAGACACTTCTGCTTGGTGATTATCTTTGAAGGCGTCAAAGCTAGCGGTTTCTCGCTGGCCAACTCTGATTCAATGATCGAGATGCATTTTTCATATTCGGCAAGCGTCTGTCTATCGCGCAACAAATCAAAACACGACCGCTGCAGCCAGCGACGATTTTCGTTCAACTTATGGTGCAGCGTCGTCAACTGACCGGTGTACCTCTAAAAGCAACGCAAATCGTTTTACCGGTTTACCCGCTTGACAGGAAACAACGCACCTCCAGCTTCTCCACGTAGTAACAATCACCGTCAATCAGACACTTTTGTTCATTGGCGGAATTCAGCTGTAGTCTGAGTTTGTTCAGTATGCTCACCATCTTCTGAAAAAGCAAAAGCTACAACGGCGGCCACCACACGAAACTACATCGCTTGCTAACCTGATGACGCTGGGTCTCTTCACACAGATCCTTCAACGAACAACAGCGAGTTCCGTCGTACCTCTCATTCAGATCTTTGCAGAAACTTTCCACTTCTGTAAGCCATTGTTCGATTTCAAACAGCTCTGTTTCGTATTGCTCCCACAGGCAACGATTCCTGTCAAATTCGGCTTGTTTTCCAAAAGCGACCAGCTGGACGGAATGCAGATGATCGTACAACTCGTTCACACGGCGTTTGTATAACTTTAAACACGGGTTCTTTGAAACTGCATCATTAGCGTTTTGCCCCAGAAGTTTGTAGACCGTGTTTTCGCATGTTTTGTATTCTATTAACTAAAAAGACAAAAATCGAATGCTCCGAAAACTGAAAACAAAAAATTACCAAAAATTAAGTGGCAAGTGATTAATCTCTAAACAGACAGGTGACGCCTATCGTTCTTATTGATTAATACTGTTTCAAGCTATCAATTCACCTGCTTGTTGATTAGGGAACTACTACCATCAACCAAGACTAATCCTTCGGCAAGCATGAACGTGGCACTGATTATAGTCCTTCAGCTATAAGAAACCACGCAGCATCCATGAATATACAATGCTAGAGTATTTCAGTTCATTTCTGTTCACAACAGAAAATTATTTAACGTTTATCTGTTATATCATTGATTGTGAAGTACCTGCATGTTTCTATACGGCATGATGATCATTGAATCACTGATCAGTAACAGGTCGTCAGAAAGAAACAGATCATTAATCTCTTACGATAATGTAATTATAATTATCTTCTGAGTTTCGAAATCGAACCTTTAATAAAAGTTAATAAATGAACTTCTTAAATGAATTTCAACTGGTCAAACATCTGGAAATGAAATTGATACAGGACGAGGCTGAGAGATGAAAGTCAGTCAGTGACAAATCTTATCTCTTCGCGACCTTACAACAGTTCACAAATGACTAAATTCTTCGAATCCGTTGGCGTGGCTCCAATGAAATGGTCAACAACCACTAGCGAACATTGAACTACAACCAAAGACCAGATCAGAGAACGTCGTTATAAACTGGACCGCAGTCGACACGACTTTTTTTCAAAAACGAAGACAGGTCAGATGATGGAACAACTATTTCAGTGCAAATTCGAAAAAACTGACCGTGTAAAAATCACACTGAAAAATATAGCAAAACATTTAATGCAGTACACTGCAAAAAAAAACTAAAGAAGGAGAATCAGGATTCGACTGAGATCTGTTAGCTCAATATGGCACAGCAACTTAGACTGGCATATATATAAGGCACTAACACGATAGATACACTCCGATTCAGTGTATTCGGTATCGAGTCCTTCTGGCATGCAGTATACCGTGTAGGGACCTCCAAACGTACAGAAAGAATGCCTGGCAGTACTGGTACTTT